GCTGCGCCAGGGAAGGGGTGCGGCTGCCCTCCCACCCCCTTCTATTTATAGGGTGAAGGGGAGAGGGGGCCGGCCCCCTTAGATGCATCTAGAGGGTGGGGGTGGGGGGCAAGTGGGGGAGACTTGCCCCCCAAGCAAGGTGGGAGGGGGGGGGGGCGCACCAGCCCACCAGGGGCTGGTTCCTTTCCATATTCAGCCCATTAAGTCCCCCGGGGCAGGTGGCCCCACCCGGTGGACCCCCGGACACCTTTCGGTGGTCCCGGTACAATACCGATAACCCCCAAAACTATTCCGGCGACTGAAACTGGACTTCCCATATATAAATATTCACCTCCGGACCATTCCGGAACTCCCCGTGACGTCCGGGATCTCATCCAGGACTCCGAACAACCTTTGGTAACCACATATAATTTTCCATAACAACTCTAGCGTCATCGAACATTAAGTGTGTAGACCCTACATGTTCGGGAACCATGTAGACATGACCGAGACATCTCTCCGGCCAATAACCAACAGCGGGATCTGGATACCCATGTTGGCTCCCACATGTCCCATGATGATATCATTGGATGAACCACGATGTCGGGGATTCAATCAATCCTATATACAATTCCCTTTGTCCATCGATATGTTACTTGCCCGAGATTCGATCGTCGGTATCCCTATACCTCGTTCAATCTCGTTACCGGCAAGTCTCTTTACTCATTCCGTAATGCATGATCCCATGACCAACTCCTTAGTCACATTGAGCTCGTTATGATGATGCATTACCGAGTGGGCCCAGAGATAACTCTCCGTCATACGGAGTGACAAATCCCAGTCTTGATTCGTGCCAACCCAACAGACACTTTCAGAGATACCTGTAGTGCACCTTTATAGTCACCCAGTTACGCTGTGACGTTTGATACACCCAAAGCACTCCTACGGTATCCGGGAGTTGCATAATCTCATGGTCTAAGGAAACGATACTTGACATTAGAAAAGATCTAGCAAACGAACTACACGATCTTGTGCTATGCTTAGTGTTGGGGATATGACTATCAGATATGACCCGCCCAGGAGGGGCCGGGTCAACCACAATGGCGGTTCATCTAAATGAAGCCCAAGAGTATACAAGATGGCGGTTCATAGTTAGGCTTGTAAAAGGCCCAAGACCAGAGGCAGCTTAAGGCCCGTAAGTATAAACCGCCATATATGTGTAGACTTGTAATGTAAGGCATGTAAGATACGTCACTGAGCCGAATCACGT